TGGACCAGATCTGCAATTAGAATTTGACCAAACACAGTCTTCATAATGTTCACCGAAATGATTCTTTATTTTTTTTAATTTAACTCTATACTCGAGTTTTGAATGAATATCTAAAAGTCTTTTCTTCTGCCCTTCAGGTAAGAAATGCCCAAAGTTTTTTAAAAAAATAAATATATCTACAGCTGCCGATGACATGCCTTCTTCGATTACTGCACCCTCATATGTAATGATTGATAATAACGATTAACATGAATTATTGTTGTGTTTATATCGGATGAAGTGCGCTCTTATAATGCTTCTCGATCAGGTACTTACTCCGTATTGTTTTCCGGAAATTCAAAGCAATAGATGTTTAGAGTATGCTTCTCATAATTGCTATAATAAGAGCATTTCATTCGAATTTCACAATTATCGTAAACTAAATTGAAATGACGATAGAAAACCCCTGGACTTTCAATAATACCTCCAATTCTCATTTAACTGAATCATTTTTAAAAGCGTCAATAGCATCGAGTATGGTGTATACAGTTATTTTTACACTATTTGTCTTTGTGTTGTGATTGGAGTAATTTGTTCTAAAATATCCCTAAGGGATCTGCGTTGTTGTTGTTGTTGTTAATGTTGTGGGGTTCAGCTCAGGACGACTTTTATCTATCAATTGAATTGTTACATTTATTTTTAAACGTAAAGAAGTGTTTGGAATGTTGTATTCAAAACTAGCCTGTTTACTATTTTCAAAATTTCTAAAGTTGCTTATATTTTGATTTTGTTCCATAAATTGATCATAGTAGTAGTAATAGCTTGTTCCATAACTTAAATACAACAGTTGTAGAAGAAGAATTTTTATTACATTAGACAAGCTCATCTTTTTTCTCTATATATATGTATATACACGTTTAACACACGTTATACAATGACCATACTATATGTTTATTTATAGTTTTTGACATCAATTATTTTTACATTTGGTATTTTATATGATTTATCCTGAATTAGAACCTTTTCAATGTCACCATTACTCAGAATTCGTTCAGTTTCAATTTCACGATATTAAAAGCACTTGATGCTCAACCGTTTGTCAATATAACTACTATCATAAGTACAACGAATCGGGGTATTAGAATTATCATATTCCAATTTGAAATGACGATAAAATGCTTGTTTTGCCTCAATCATTCCTCCAATATCAGATTCCTTTTCAATAATCTCTCTACGAAATGTCTCTATAGCTTCATCTATAGTAAAAACTCTTATAGTTTTCCCTTCAGTTGTAAAGTCAAATGTAGGTGATGGAGATGAAGATGGTTGTGTAATCTCTTCAATGGGGGCCGATGAAAATGATGACGTCGTCGTTGTCGTCAACACTTTAATTTCTTCATCATACTGCGTTAAAAACGGTTCACATTGTTTCAGTAATAATAATGAAACATCTATTTGTAAAATATTAGTACTATTCTATTAAATTTAATACATTTCGAGTTTTGGTTTATTCCAATCGCATTACTTTTTATTTTTTCCCAAAATAGAGCCCCATAGGCAGCTTTGGAAAGAAGTAATAATACAATATAAAATTTAAATTCCATTATGTCATATCCTTTTGTCGACGACAATTTAAAATGAGGATGATATTTGAAAAATATGTATTTATATACTTTCCTTTCTTCTTAGCTTTAAAAATAAAAGTACTAAGCTTAAAATTTAAATACCATTGTGGCATATCCGTTTCTCGAAGAAAATTTTTTTAAAAAATGTAAAATGCAATGCGCTCATAGCACAACAAAGAAAAAATTATTTATGATAAAACTGTAAAATATACACTTGCGGCCACCAAAACGCTGAAACTTTATTTTTGCATCAAAATGGTGCAAGGCACACGAAAACGGTGAAATTTTACTTTACATCAAAATGGTGCACGGCACACCAAAACGGTGAAATTTGACTTTCCATCAAAATGGTGCAAGGCACACACACACCCGTTTTCGGGTTTTTTCAAGAAAATTTTCATTTACTTAAATTTTCAGTTGCACAAAAAATGCAATAACAAATTTTTCCCTTCGCACCAAAATGGTGCAAGAAAAAGTGCGTAAGTGGGAAACGAGAAAAAGTAAGAAAATCACTTTGCACCAAAGTGGTGCAAGGAAAAGTACGTAAATGGTCCATGCAGCCTTGCACCAAAGTGGGGTAGAACCGCCATTTTTATACTACTCAAAATAACTAATGAAAGGCACTTAGTAGTACTTTAACAGACTACGAAAAACCTTATGCTACTATCGAAAACAATTACTTGTTATTGTCTGATCAATCAACTATTATTGACCATATTTACATGGCAAACCATTTGTGCTCCTAACTGATCATCAGCCACTTCTTTGGTGCCACACAAAACCAACAATATAACGTACATATTACATTATCAAAGGCAAAGAAAATAAAGCAGCCTATTATAACTATCACAAACATTGAAGAAAATAACAGTGTCATTAATATGAGCATGGAAGCAACAATTTACTCACAAAAAATAGAAAGCAATAAGAACTTTCTATCCCTCAATGCAATAATCAACAGACTCGCAACCCAAATCATAATTACAGATAATAAATAGGGAGAAACAAAAGTTACAAATGGTTATTGTAGAGTATGTGTAAGACTGATTTATTTAAATAGCATATAAACTCAAAACGGGTAGGAACATGTATATACCGAATCAATATCATAATAATTTATTAAAGCGGGGCCAACTAAAGTTAGTAGAGTTATTTAATACTGAAATAAAGCTTTCTAGATGTAGCTTTAAATCAAAAAAGAATTAAATATTACTTAAGTGAATGCGGGAGTAGCGGAAAACTAGGAAGCCATCAAAACAAAACTTTACTATAAAAATCCCTCATTGTCCAATTTGTAGTTTTTGCGTCTTGATGTTTTTCCAACAAATGGTCCCTCCATTTAAACTAAGTTTAAACTAAGCCGCCTCCGAACGCCTGATGGTTTTTATGAGGTGCTTTATTTCGTGTCCGAATGGCAGTACGCAATGCTAACCATTCCGCTACCGTGGTCAAATAAATGTCACATTAACAGGCCTATTCTGTCGAGGTAACAAAATTTACCTAGGTATTAAAATTTAGCATTCAGTAAATTTTTTTACCATTTCGTTTTCTGAGCTCACTGTTATCCTGTAAATTTTGTTACCAGCGAAATAGGAGGTAACAAAAATATCTGCTGTTTGATTTTGTGTTGTAAGTTTGAGAAAAAATAAAAAACCAAAATGGGTAGGCATATTTTAGGCCTGGAGTTCATTGAAGATGAGGAAAAAATTGCGAAAAGCCGTATTTTAATAAGTTTCCGAGGCTAAAAAATTGCCCTTTGATTTGTAAGATAACGTTTTCATTCAGCTTTTTTTGTTGTCCAGGCATATTTTCCATAATTATGTTCAAATATTTATGATTCAATAAACAAATTAATAAAACTTTTTAAATTTTTTGTGCATTGTATTCCATTTCGATGTAAATATTTTTCTTTTCACTTTATCAACTGGCAAATGTAATTTGACATGGAGGAAAAAAAAAGTGCTGCCAAATTTTTTTCAAATAGTGTAACCAGCTCGCCAGAATACCAAATTTTTACCAGCGAAATAGGAGGTAACAAAAAATCTGCTACTTAATATTGTGTTGTTACTTTGAGAAAAATTAAAATCCTCAATGTGCGACATAGTCGAAAAAAGCAGTGCTGCCAGAGTTTTGTGCGCTAGAATGCAAAATTGAATTTCGGGTGTTAAGAATTATTTTACCGGTAACAGTGAGAATAGGCATGTTAGAGGTAAGCGTTGTGGTGGCGACTCAGCGCCTTCTCAGACATCTTTTACAAGACATAAAATGATAAGACGCATTGATAAGGGTTTGTAAAGTAAGAACAGATGTTCGATTATTAAATACTGATTTCACCATCTGTGAACTTGTGTTTAGTACTGCAGGACATACATAAGTACAGTGTAGAATTGTATTCATGTAACTGTTTGCTATGTTTTAAGCACTTAAGTAAATAAATACATATTAATAAATATATTCGAAAATTAATACGAAAAAATTAGACTTCCACTGACACAATTTTATTTTGGGTACTGCTTCTAAACGTTAAGCTAGAAGTTATAACTGTAGAAACCGTAGTTTTTCAAGGTATTGGCGAGATATGTCATCGCGCCATTTATGAATACCGCCACCAATAACCCGCAACAGGTGCTCTAGTTATAGGAAAATAAATGCTCGAATTTTTATCAGTGTACATTAGTTTGTTACTTTGTTTTCGAACGAGTTGGGCGTTACAATTCACCTACAACGGCAAAAACGGTACTCGTCATTCTGGAGAAATTACAGCGTCTGATATTACTTATGCAGATCGTTTGTCATCGCGTTCAGCAAGAAGGCTTTCCTGGCGAATCAAAAGAACTTCTTACAAAACAAACGGTTAGAAAATCGGGTCCCTTATAACCACTTACACCATTTAAGTATTGAAGACAGACTATTCGAGTTATGTATGAGACAGCAGTGGAGAATTTCGCCAGATCTGAAGGATCGAATTTGGAAAAGGTGGACTAAGGAGTACTTGCCAACTCCAGTTTGCCGACCAAAATACAGTGAATATGTTAAGCCACTACAACCAGGGCAGTTGGTTATAATATTCGAACCAAATCTACCAAGAAGTCAATGGGTCATAAGATGGTCAATTTTGTTCAGCAGTTGATCAAACGTCCACAAAAATATATGAATTCCAGTGAAGATTCACCTGGAGGAAGAATGTTGGCGAGATAAGTCATCACGCAATTTAGGAATACCGCCACCAATAACCCGCATTAGCTGATCTAGTTTTAAGAAAATAACTGTTCGAATTTTTCTCAGTGCACATGGCTAACTTCGAATCCCTCTCATTTTGCTCATTTCGTTATATGTATTAGTTTGTTACTTTGTTTTCGAATCCACTCATTTTTCTTATGTCTTTATATGTTTCAGCTTTTCGAACAACTATTCTCAAAATTCGATTGATGGAAATATTAACCGAGGAGTTCAAACCAATATCTTAACATCACGGAAAGTTTTAAATAGAATTGGTATGAAATTCTTGGAAACATACGTTTTTAATTAGCTGTTAAAAAGAATAACAGCCGTCTTTTGATTTCGTTAACACATAGAATCATTGATATGTAACCCACTTGTGTAAGCGCCCACCATAAAATAATTGCGAACTCCGTGCGCGTCGAATTTCAGGTGTTCCTTTTCTCTCCGTTTCCTTCCGTAATCCTTTCGCTCCTCTTTTATACTCGTTCCTGAGCCTAACAACAGCTTTATCGTGGTAGTCTGAGCTGACCAACTTTAAGTATAAAAGCAAATCCCACTTCGCGAGCTATGTACATTTCCCTTAGTTTAGTTTAGAATTTACTCTTTTTCCTCTATTTAAATTAATTGCTTTAGTTATGTATTGTATTACTCTCTCCACACATTACTCATAACTGCATAACTGTTCCAATTATTTAACTTCCTCTTTCAATCTTTTAATATTATAAATTAGTTGTAAGCTATGTAAGCTAAATATATAATAAATCATAAAGCTAAAATTTTTTTATTAATTGAAATAACAAGAAATATTATTACTGGCATAGTCGACGGTGAACTTAAACCTAAATGGAATAAATGTAAGTAGTTTGATGTTACTGATTTTCGGTGTAAGGTCGGTTGGAATTGTGGCATGCTTGCCTCCCATCTAGCTTGTCGTAAGGTGGATCTCTTTCCAACCTACTTACTTCCAATTGACCTTAAGAAAATTTTGCTTTCACGCAGATGTATCCTGCTCTTGGTAAAGTCCCCTAACTTGAATATTGTCAGTCTGTCTATCGTCTGTCCCTCATAAAGTCTTACGTACCATGTCCGGCTTAACGTTTTTCTGTCATTCTTAAGCCGTAAGTCACCATCCATTCCCACCTTGTTGCACCACCTTTATAAATTGAATCACATTATGGTATATAGTTTTAAAAATAATAATATACCGACAGTATTTGCAATAATACTTATGTAAGTCTAATACCTATTTAAGTAATTTAATTAAGCAACAAAAAAATTCAAAACTTCAAAAACTCGAAAATGAATGAATAACTTGCCTTGGTTTTTCTAAGAGGTAATACCGATTTTGCTAATCTTACTTATACGACGAGATTGTTATATTTCAGCGAATCAAGAAACAGCGGTAAGTTCTTGATTCGCTGAAATATAACAAACTCGCCGTATAACTCGTACAGCTCATCGTTCCATCGTCTGTGGTATTCGCCGTTGCCAACGCACAAAGGGTAATAAATCTTACGCAAAATCTTTCAACTGTTAACAGTGGCGCGGGACCCAAGCTGCGCATGCAATGACTGTTTGTTTGATGACAGGAGATATTTCGTCTTGTCCTCAGTCACTACTAGACCCATTCGCTTCGCTTCTTTATCAAGCCTGGAGAAAGCAGAACTAACGGCGCGGTTGTTTGGGCCGGTGATGTCAATATCATCGTCGTACGCCAGTAATTGTACAGTCTTATAAAAGATTGTACCTTCTTTATTCAGCTCTGCACTCTTATTTTTCTCTCCAGCATCAAATTGAAGAAATTACATGACAAAGAGTCATCCAGTCTGAAACCTCGTTTGGTATAGAATAGCTCGGAGAGGCCTATCCCCAGGCTTCAACTGCCTTTTCACTTTTAATTGCCCCGTCTCGCAAAGCACTACACTATCCTATCTTTATATAATATATTCTCTAACTTTTTTCCAGTAAAGCGCACGTCAGCGAAAAAAATGGTGTTCACTCATTCGTAGATTGCGAGAATCTGATCCGGCATGCACTTGCGAACCTGGCCGCAAGCTACGCGTTATTGGAGCCGCCCCCATTACCCAAAGGGACCGGGTTGTATAGCGCAAGCCACTATGGCACACCAAGTACACTGCGATAATTTTTTCCCATTGCCACATTTAAGAAAAGGGCGACACCCCATTTTACGGAAAACCCGCGCAATGCATTCCGTTGCCCTAATCTTTGTTAGTGAACATGTCACGGAAATCCGGCCATTCTTTATAACCCTCATAAAAAGTCTCTGTGTCGCATGGAGTAACTTGTAAGAAACCATGGGAAGCACTTGATTGGTCTGAAGTGGGTTCCACACGGGATGATGGACTCGGAGAATCGACTAGTCTTAGCGTTTTAGGGTGGTTATCAAAGGCTTCAGTTAGACTTTTGTGTTTGCTTCGAGATACAATTCGTTATCACCTTCAATCGGAGAATTACCGAATATTGCACAATCGTACGCTTTAATTCTTGATCGCGTTTATGAGGATTCCCTCTACGCACTTGCGGAATCAGTGCAGTGTCTGACATCTTGGCAAGTTTCGCTCCTTGCTGGGACTGTGTCCAATTGACAAGGGATTTTAGGAAAAAAAACCTTTTGGAGGCCGAAAATTTTTGAGAAATACCCATCCAGCATATAGTGATATTAAGATTCGCACTACTGCCCACAGGAAATTTGAAAATTCGGTAGCTAAATTTAGCATATGGGCGATTGTGTGTGGGTGTATGTTTTTTTTTGTCGGAAATGACAAAAACTTAACTTATTGGAAATATTATAGTTAATCTAATGGTTTAAAACAAACAAGATATGAGAACGAATGAAAAAAATGTAATAAATATAAAATTAAAAGGAAATTTCACGCACTTGCAATTACATGTAATGAAAGATGCGTATTGAAATAAACGTGTAAAAAATATATAAATAATTTAAAAAAAATATATATGTGTAATATATACAATACATATTTCGTTTATGAATGTAAATGTGAATAAATATTTAATTATGTATGTTGGTGTATCAATGTTTTGATTTATTGTATTTTCCGCTCTTGAAATAGTTTGATGCTGTAAAGTGCACTGCTCATCTATTGCAATAAGCTGATATCGCACAAAAGAGAATTTCGAATAATGGTTTAGTGAATAGATCACTTTGTTTTTAATGCGCTCAGTGCAAAGCATTCGTGTTGAATATTTCTGTAATGTATGTATTATGCTGCAACTACCCAACGCGCGTACCAGCCGTCCATAGTAACCTATCGTATGAGAGCGCCATGTAAACACAAAGTTGTCACCGCTTGCCCCATGCCGTTAGTGACGGTTGTTCCGCAGAAACCAACGAAGATTTGATATTTTCCGTAAAGCCGGCTCGGCTCATTTTCCGTTGCTATACATGGTTGCCAGCATAGCCTTTCTTAAAGCAACATTAAATAATCGAAGATAATGCGTAGTTGTTTTTCAAAATAAATGAAAACTAAATGCGTAACTAATTATTTGTTACCATATAGATCATGTATATTTGCCTTGCGTTTATATTCAACCATATAAATTATGAAATTCGTTGACGAAAATTATGAATTTGTTCAAAAGTGTGCAACACTGGCAGCTAGCAACATTACGCCGCTCTCAGCAGCGTCGATAACTCGTGTTGTTGTTGTTGTAACCGCAAATTATTCCCCGAACTGGTTTTCGGGGAATTTTTCGGGAGTGACAGTCCTTGGCCGGATAAAAATCCGGGTCGTTCCGGTATAAAGACCCGACTGTCGCGGGAACTATTGGATTTTAGTCGCCTCTTACGACAGGTATGCCTTATGTATGTATATCGCCTCGACGTCGCCAGTTATGGACGGCTGGTAAGTGAAATGGGTTGTTGCAGCTTAACTCGAGAGCCACTACCAAAGTTGTTGAGTAGCCGCTATTTTAAAGGTCTTTGAACCTTTATATTTACTGTAGAGTAAGTAGGTAATTAGGGCAATGACCTTATAGCCTGCAATAAGGAAATTGCAAAATATAAAGTTAATTACATACAGATATGTACATACTATGCATACATATGTACTGTACATGAAAAAAACAGACTTTATTTACGGGAGTTAAATAAATATATTAGCGGCAAGAAGAACCATTTTCTGCTCGAAATTTAGTCCGCTAAATTTCAAATTTAATGTTTCCTTGTAGTTGTGAAAATACGTTTTACTAAAAACTCTTTGTAGTTATGAAAATTTAAAAATACCAATAAACGTACAATATAAGTTAAAATAGATAACCCATAATCCGGCCGAAGTATCGCTTCAACAGAATCTGCTGACGGCGCGTCTACAGCTTTACACGTAACAACAAAGGAAAGTTAAATACTGAAATAATAACGCACCCGGCCTTACTTCTGATCGAACACTTGTAGTCTTCCGCGTGACATCAACAAACCAAATACAAGTTTACACAGGTTACCAATCATCCGGCCAAAATATCGCTTCAACAGAAAGTTAGGGCAAACAGTGTAAGTATTCAGACGCTAGCGTCGCTGTTGTGTAAATCAGTTGTATTTATTAACTCCTCCGCTGAGACCAGCTACCTTTGTTTATACAAGGGAAATACAAAAATATTCAAATGAACACAAAGTGATCGTTTTATTTATATGTTCTGCTTCTTTTGAAAGGAAATTAAAAAGTTTTCTTACTTACTACTTACTACTTACGGGCCAGTTCTCACTGTCACCGGTAAAGCTAATTTTGTTACTTTTTTTAACACCCGAAATTGAATTCGGTATTCTGCTGAACTGGTTACAATGTTTGAAAAAACTTTGGTAGTACCGCTTTTATCGTCCTTGCCAAATTACATTTGCCAGTTGGTAAAGTAAAAAACAAAAGTATTCACAGTTTATTTATTTGTTAATTAAATCATAAATATTCGAGCCTAATTTTGAAAATATGCCTATACGACAAAACGCTATCTTCCAAATCAAAACGGTCATTTTCTCTCGCAGCTTCCTAAAATATGCCAGCCCGTTTTGGTGTTTATTTTTTCTTGAACTAACAACACAAAATCAAACAACAGATTTTTTGTTATCTCCTATATCGCTGGAACTCAGAATACGAAATAGTAATAAAATTCACTGAATGGTAAATTTCCATAATATATTATATATTATAATACCAAAGCAAATTTTGTCATCCCGACAGAATAGGCCTGTTAGTGGCTTTTTTACTTTCCTTTTTTGTTTGTTTGGATGTCCGCCTCTTGTAAGCGAGGGGGCTTCCGAAATTGATTTTCTGGTACTGGTGTGGTTTCCGCTTCCTCCTGGCTTGCTGTTGCTTGGCAGATTTTGTGGCAAATATTTTTTATTTTTTATTTTATTTATTTATTTATTTAGTTATTATTTATTGGAGGTATTTTTTTTGTATGTGTATATATGTATGTGCAGTTATATATTTGTATGTATATATATGTATGTGCAGTTATATATTTGTATGTATATATGTATATTT